GGCTGAACAGAGACATAAATCAAAAAGAACTCAATAATTTGTTTACAAATGCACAACAAAAAAGTAAAACATCATCAAATGCAATAGTATTTCAAAAGTTTAAGTTCAAAACTGAAATGTAGTTAAATAGTAAAAGATTGCAGATGAAATAAAATAGATAAGTATTTTAAGTCACATGAGAAAAATAAATGTGTTTTAGAATTTAGAAAATCGTATCAAAATAATGCCAATGTAGTTGCTGATATTAACTCGTATATACACATGGAGAGTGAACTTCTCCCCACCAGAGCAACTCCTGATCAAGTTTTAATGAAAAACTTATCACTTTCTGAAATATATTAAAAGATCATATTGGTATTGAAGAAATATTGAACATTTGTTGAATAAATGAATATTCATCGAATACATAAAGTAACATGAAATTTGAATACTTTTATGGTTAAATGAATAAAGCTACTTCTTTAGGATGTCTAGATCAATTAAACATACATGTAAAATAAACCTTTAATTAATTAAGAAAATACTAATTGGAACTTATGAAGGGAGACCATCCAATTCACATCCATTACACAAATATTATTATTATGAGGCGGGTACTGTGTACATGTACAAGACAACTCAGACCATCTATATACACCTTACCGCCATTTGTCTGTCGTAAAAGGAAATCACAAATGTTCCCATAAATTTTAACGCCTCAAAGGAAAAGTGATTATTGTATGACGTCAATAGTTTGTGTCTCAAATTCTCAGGTCAAGTATTAGATTAATACTACTTTTTTTTGGTATAAAGTTTGTAATTATGAATTGATAAAGGTTTTATTAGAAATCAAAAATCCCCATTATGAAGCAGAAACTTCCATTTAAACCAATTATTTTGATAAGGCACTTTTTTGGCACATGCAACGAAGTACATGTATATCTATATATATTCCATCTTCATGCCTAATATATCATGTACTGTGTTACAACTCTAGGTTCTACTGACGAAGAAAGGTAACACTAGGCCACTGAAAGATGAATTTTGTTCAGTCTAGGTGGCCGAGTGATCTAGAGAGCTGGACACAGTGCAGGCGGTGTTATAAAGATATCTCAATAGCATGAGTTTGAATCCCGGCAAGGGAAGAACAAAAATAGATAAAGACAACGAGGAAAGGCATTACATCGACCACCGAAAGCTATATTTTTATGTAGCCTAGGTGGTCGAGTGGTCTAGGGCGCTGGACACGGTGCAGGAGGTGTTGCCACAATGACACAGAAGCAAGGGTTTGAATCCCGCTGAGGGAAGAACAAAAATTTGCTAACGCAAATTTCAAGATCTAACATTGTTGGGCTAAATTTGAGACGAGTTATATATATATATATATATATATATATATATAATACTTTAATGTGAACTACAGTAATACCATTAGATGGTCCAAACTCTCTCTTTATACTTTGTCTTAGTTGACATTATGGACGGTCCTAGTTTACTTTATAGATTCCCCAAGTTGCCTTATAAGTTGGTCTGAGTGAAACTCGATTTTATTTTTAGTAATTCTTCGTTGATTAAAAGCAACTCTTTCCAAGCTATGCAATGTAAGAACTAAAACATGCATCAGCAAATGAGTGAATAATTAGACATAATTAATAAAGCATATCTTTTATTTTTGCATGAAAGGCAATAGACAAGTGATTGGCCAAAGCTATCATATTTGATCATTTGAATTAAGTACCCACATGAATTATATTTTATGTTGCTCAGCTACCTAAGGGAAAGTAAAAATATCACTTTCCCCATAAACTTTTAAACTTGACTGGTGCAGAAGATCAAAAAGGCAAATCCCATATTAAATGGTTGTTATAATAGATTAATTGATTAGGCCAATAAAAGACATTCAAACTTTTTATCAGTGGCAATCAAGTGATTTAATGGGAGAATAAGGCTAAGCAGTTTGAATCTGAATGTGACTTTTATATTTTGATCTTCTGTCCTAAATTATTGGTCATGAAGATAAATGGAATACATTTAAATTACCCTTTTTATTGGGACTAGAGGTCAGATCAAAAGAAGGTTGCATGTCTACAAGAATGTAAATAAAATAGGCAGTTGGTCCAAGGATAAAAATTAAATTTTATTTCAAACGAAAAAACAATCGAGAATAAAAGTTTAGTATTTCACTTTCTTTCCATTTAAATCGATAGTAATAGATCAGAAATGTCTCTTAGTCTGGTTAAAATTTAATCTATTTTTACTCATTGTTGTCATTCAGTTAAATCTTCTGTGTGTGGTATTTTATCTATTATAACCATGCAATCTGACCCATCTTGTTGTATGGATCTAAAATTTGAGGTTATATACCATATAAGAAAACAAAAACATATGGATAACTTTAATTCAAAAGAAACTGATTATCTTTTACTAGAGAACATCCATACTGAACGTTGCAAATTTTCACTTGGAGTTACCATAAAAACATCAAATATGGCAGGTAGAGGGGAACTTGGTTCGCTCCCTACACTTTTTTTTATGTAATAATAAATATGATGAAATATTGGATTGATCTTATTAAATTAAATTGAATTTTTAAATATCATTTGGGAGGCCATAAATCTATCCCGGTCTATGAACAAATCTTACCAGGAATCTTGGATAGGAAACTTTAGACATGTTTTTATACGACCGCAAACAAATTTTGCCGTCGTATATTGGTATGACGTCGTCGTCCGAAGACACATTGGTTTTCGCACTCTAACTTTAGTTTAAGTGAATGGATCTCTATGAAATTTACCATAAGGTTCAATACCACAAAAGGAAGGTGGGGATTGATTTTGGGGGTTATGGTACTAACAGTTAAGGAATTAGGGGCCAAAAATAAGCATTTTTGTAGCTTCCAGACATAACTTGTGTTAGTGTATGAATCCCTCTGACATTGAACCACAAGGTTTCATATCACAAAGGGAATGCTGGGATTGATTTTGGGGGTAATTGCCTCAAAATTTTCGGAATTAGGGGCCAAAAAGGGGCAAAAAACAAGCATTTTTCTAGTTTCATGACAATAACTTGTGTGTAAGTGTATGGATCTCTCTGACATTGTACCACAAAGTTCCATATCACAAAGGGAATGCTGGGATTGATTTTGGGGGTAATTGCTTCCAAATTTTAGGAATTAGGGGCCAAAAAGGGGCAAAACACAAGCATTTTTCTAGTTTCATGACAATAACTTGTGTGTAAGTGTATGGATCTGTATGAAATTGTACTGCAAGGTTCCATATCACAAAGGGAATGCTGGAATTGAGTTTGGGGGTAATTGCCCAAAACGTTAAAGAATAAGGGGCCAAAAGGGGCAAAAAATAAGCATTTTTCTAGTTTCCAGACAATAACTTGTGTTCAAGTGTATGGATCTCTCTGAAATTGTACTGCAAGGTACCATACCACAAAGGGAAGGCTGGGATAGATTTTGGGGGTAATTCCCTCAAAATTTTAGGAATTAGGGGCCATAAAGGGGCAAAAAAACAAGCATTTTTCTAGTTTCAGGACAATAACTTGTGTGTAAGTGTATGGATCTTTATGAAATTGTACTGCAAGGTTCCATATCACAAAGGGAAAGCTGGGTTTGAGTTTGGGGGTAATTGCCCTAAACGTTTAGGAATTTGGGGCCAAAAAACAAGCATTTTTCTAGTTTCCAGACAATAACTTGTGTTCAAGTGTATGGATCTCTCTGAAATTGTACTGCAAGGTACCATACCACAAAGGGAAGGCTGGGATTGAGTTTGGGGGTGATGAATCATAAGGGGCTTCAAAAAATTTGGGGGGGGGGGTTGATTTTTTTTTTCTTTTTTTTCTTTAAAATTTTCCATTTTAAATTGGTTATTTCTGATTTATATATAAAAGCAAATAATAATTATATGGTTTGAATAGGTAAATTAAAAAATTTTAAGTTCTTAGACCACATTCATTCTGTGTCAGAAACCTATGCTGTGTCAAATATTTAATTACAATCCAAATTCAGTGCTGTATCAAGCTTGAATGTTGTGTCCATACTTGCCCCAACTGTTCAGGGTTGGACCTCTGCAGTCGTAACAAGCTGCGCCCCAGCAGAGCATTTTATTAAATTCTTAGATTTAGACTATCTATTTGTAAACCAGTCAAACAAAACCATACATTAAAAATTCTCTAACAATAAAATAATGAAATTTGGGTAGTTAGTTTAGAAAGCAATTCTGGGAAGAGTACCAATATACAGTCGGGCAATAAATTAAGAACTTATAGAAAATTTGATATTTTTGTGTTTGAACCATAGTTAAGAATAAATTCAAAAAATGACAGGCAAATAATTACAAGATTTAGCACTAGCAGTCATGACCTTGAAATTGAAAGAGGGAGGTATATTGGTATAAAAGCTGAAGACAGAAAGTGTAAGCTATGTAAGAACACAGTTGAAGATGAACTACATTTTCTTTTAAAATGTCCTATTCTGAAAGATACAACATCTCAACATCTGTAATTTAAATTCTAAATTCAATTTTTTTTTAAAGGTATCTATTGAGATGAAACTTGTTTGGATTCTTCCATCTGAAGATCTGTTTGTTACTTCAAACTTATCTAAATTATTAAACTCCCTATTTGAAGAACGAAAGAAACTTCTAGAAAGTATAAATGGAGTTTGAAAAATAAAAAAAATAAAAAATCGATCAGGAGTTGTCTCCCATAGGCCTAGGTCTATAAATTGATGAAGAAAACATATTTTCTGCAGGTCACAGTGGCTTCCAAAAGACTTAATGTTTTGTCAGTGACATTGTTTATATGTTACTTTGTTTAAATGTGTATACATGTTTTTATTTAAATGTACTTCAATCACTCTAATCATTCTAATCATTGACTCTTCTTTATTGTGTAATAATTTATTTGATTGTATTGCTCAAATTTTGGGCACCATGATTGGTTAGTAAAAATATCTTATCTTATTTTGTCTTATCTTATCTAATCTTATCTTATCTATGAGCTGTCAGTAAATTTGGTTAAGACACCTTAACATTTTTCACATTCTGAACTAGTCAGCTGTGTAGGATGGACAACTCCAGAAGAGCTATATTCAGGTGCTGATGATCACTTGGTTCTGAAGTGGAATCTGAGTAACAATGAAACAAATACTCTTGTAAAGTTACCAGATGATGTATTTCCTACAGATATGCACTGGTTTCCTAAATCTGCTGCTGGTGGTGGAAAGAAGACTGGATCAGACCTCTTTGTTTTAACATCAACTGATGGTAAGGTTTTCACCAAAAAGTAAATACATCAATTATATTTGTGTGTTTTAATTTAAATTAATTGTACATGACATACACCATCTTATAAATAGACAAGGTTGGAGGTTTGTGTATACATGAAATGGTTTACCTGAAATTAAGTCCACTGCATTTTGTGCCTGTACCAAGTCATGCTATCTGGACCATGTGTTGTTCCTGTACCAAGTCAGGCTATCTGGACCATGTGTTGTTCCTGGACCATTTGTTGTTTGTTTTTTAAGTCTATTTGTATGGAGTAGTTGGGTGTTGTTGGTTTGTGTGGTCTAATTTTCTGTCCAATATGTTTGGTAATTCCTGTTATCCTTGTATATATATTTAAAAAAAATTAAAAATTATGATCTATCCTGAATGAAAAATGTAACTACATCTTGATGATGTACATGCATCTGATAGACACAAAAAAAATGACCTTCTACTAAATACATTTAATAAAAAAAACTTTAAAAGTTTAAGTTATGCTACTTTAATACAATTTTAGAGGAATAATATTTCACTGGAAATGCCATGATACTTCTGTTGGCTGTATGATTGAGTGAATGATGGATTCTTAAGTCTAACAACTTATATTCCATGCATATTTAGGACCATATGGCATTTGACAATAAATGATCTCTTTGAATTGTAACATTACACTAATAAAAGGGGAAAACAGGGCTATTTGTTTCTGTTAACTATTACTGTATGAATAAGTTATCATATTAATTGGTATTTTATAGGGAAAATTCACCTTATTAGTAAAACAGGAAGAGTTGAAAAAAGTATAGAGGCACACAAAGGTGCAGTATTAGCAGGAAGATGGAGTTATGATGGGTCAGCACTTGTGACAGGTAAATAGGATATTATATAATGCATTAAGGTTTTTTTATTCCTTGTTAATATGTTAGTGGAATAATTTCTCAAAACTTTAAAAACAAAGGATTTCAAGGTTTCTCTAACTGTAAAAACTTATGATTTTGTTCGACAGGAAAAATACCTTAGATATTGAAATTAGTAATGACACAGGAGTGGTGTGAAATTGAAAGAATTTATAATCAAATTATGATTTATTGAAAATGTTTGTCAACAGAGTACTTTGCTTAGAATATGAAAAGAATTAAAAAACCATGAGATAAGAATTCATATTGAAAAGACAACTGGAAAAACAAAAAACAATAGTATGTAACAGGACAGATAGTTGATTGATACTGTCTAAACAATACTAATGCTTAGGATAGTACAAACTGCCGTTTAAACCCAGAAGGGATATCGGATACATGTTATTTAAATGTCCCCTAGAAGGCTTTATAGGGGCATATTTTAATCTAGTTTTGACCTTGAAATGTTTGTTTTTGCTTTTCATAAGCAGATCAGCTGTGATACATTGTTTTGTATTCAGTCATTCTTTGGTATTGATGAAACTTCAAGTACACATATTGCCTATTGTTCAGATTAATTTAATAGTTTATTTTATTTTATAGCTCTAAGTATGGATTTTTTTGGATTTTCTGCAAGCTTATTCTTTTCAAATCTGAAATTCAAAAATTTTGATTGTTTTTCTTTTGTAAAAAACGTTTTTCTGTATGATCTCTGCTTGCATCATTGCCATTTTAAAGATGTCAACAAGAGTAGTTGTCTAATCTGTAAGTTTACTAATGATGTCCTATTCCCTATTGTGACATGTTTTACCTAGTAAGTGGGCCTGGATTCATATGGTGAATGATACATGCCAGTGTTCCAGCTAGCATGAAATGGAGGGGCGCCGCGCCCCGCCCTCGAAATTTTGCGCCCCTCTGCCTTTTTTAAGCGCCCCTGCGCCCCTCTGTGCCCTTTTGAAAAAAGTTTAGAAAACGATCTTTTTTCCTCATATCGTCGCCATTTTGTTGAGTTCTTTATACACACACTTCATTAAGACAACAGATTAAAATTGTTGACACTTGTTACCTGTATATAATCACCTATTTGATTAGAGTCAATTACTTAATCAGGTGAAATTTACGACCCTGTCTAATCCCTTTGCCCTGAAGCACCAAACATCCAAGTTAAATGAATTGATTTTTTAACACCTGACGATGTAAAATAGAATTTATAAAATAAATGTGAACGATGTTCATTTCTATTGTAATTGTTATTTATAAAATAACATTCATTAAAAAAGAATCATTCCAATAGTATATTGTAAATCGTCAACACGCAGAATGCCGACGAAAAAAAGAAAAATTGACCAATTCGAAAATGACAAGAAGAAAATATCAAAGACATGCCAGTCTATTACATCTTTTTTTCAAGAATAATGACCATCAAAGGTAAAAAAATAATATAATTCTTTACCTTTATGAAAAATCGAGAAGAAGAAAGGTTTCTATCAGATATCGCAATTGTTCTTCTATTGTAAATTCCGCCGATTACGGAGCACTCAAAAGTCCGATTTTTATATAATTTTTCTTAAATTGAAATCCGTTTTGACTAACTTTAATATTGATATTATTAGATACGCTCAACATGAAATATACGGATATGCATGTTGAATTGATAATAAACTTTCAAAGTCGAATTAATTTATTATTGTGCCGATTACGGAGCTCTCGAAAGTCCGATTTTTGTATCAATTTTCTTATTGAAATCCGTTTTGACAAACTTATTGATATTATTAGATACGCTCAACATGAAATTTACGGAGATGCTTGTTGAATTGATAATAAACTTTCAAAGTTGAATTAACAAACTTATTTGTTGAATCAATCTATTTCTCAAGATCGAAATAAAGACAATTGTCTCATTGGCACTCTTATTTAAATTCACAACCAAACCTACACAATTTTCAATGTATGTAATAGTATAGAGTATATAACTTAGCTACATGCTTGCTAAAAATATGTCATTATGTGGTAATATTAAGTATTTGATTTTTTTCAGGAGAACGCGCTAAAGTGCCCTTTTTTAAAAACGCGCCCCTCTTTTTTCAAATCCTAGCTGGAACACTGCATGCATAGCTTGAGATGCCTATCCGGTCTACACACCTCCTTTTGGATTTCCTGCAATTCCCTCAGTACAATAGTAAAGGGCCATTATGTTTTCCTGTGTGTTATTCTATCTGTGGGTTTGCCTTGAAGTTTTTTACTATGAAGTTGTGGCCATATCAACATGAAACTTGTACAGATGTTCATAATGATTTGAACTTTTCGAATATTTATGGGTTTAAGAATCACTGATCATGGAATTGTGTGAGCTGAGCAGTGGTGTCTTATAAACATACATTCTTGTTTTCTCCTGCTTTGTATACTCACAATGGATCAACTTGTTTTGAACATCTGTCATCTACTGTTGTCACTTAATTATATGAAAAAAGAAACCAATCCACAATGATTTGTGTAAGTGCCTGAAGGATTGTCAATTGTTTGGATAGATAAATGAACAAAAATAGACTGTTCTTTTAGAACTTTTTTTTAATACAAGTTGATGAGGAAGTTATTTTAGAAAAAGTCTGATAACCAATATGAATGATAAGAAATGTTAGATTTAATATTTACCATAAAACATTATTTTGCTACAATTCTTTTTCAGCTGGTGAAGATGGTCAAGTAAAAATTTGGTCAAGAAGTGGAATGTTAAGGTCAACTTTGACACAAAACAGTCAGTATTAATGTCAATCTGATATTCAAAATGTTCATTTTTAAGATACAAGATACTTATTATGCCAATTACAGAGCCCATTACTGAGCAGAATAATCATCATTACAAAAACAATATACAATATATTTAAACTAAATAAAATAAGAAAATAATTGGTTTCAGGTACTAAGGATTAGTATGATTGTTATAAAATAAGATTAAGTACAAATTGATTGTAGAAAATAAAATCATAAAATAATGTAATGATCTAGTAGTTAATAAGGAAATATATGGAATATAATGTAAAATTTATATCATAAATTTTTCAATGTAAAATTATTGAATTATATATACACTTAATCGTGTGTACAATATACATGTAGAAATACTTGCACATACATAAATGTTATAATTCGAAGGTGAAAAATTATGTATGTTCCAGTGATTGTATAATAAAATTTTAGTCATTTATCAAAGGAGATTCTACATTTGTCACATTTTCCAATGAAATTGTCATAATTTTTGTTTTCAGGTTCTTCAGTATATGGTATAGCATGGGGACCAGACTCTGACCAGGTTCTCTTCACGAATGGAAGACAGTTGGTGATCAAGTCATTACAACCTAATGCTAAACCAACAATGGTGAGTTTATTTTCTGACATTTATTAGTAAGAAATGAAACATTTTCACTAAAACCAGAAAAATTTGTAATTTTAGCTTTTGTATATTCAGATTTTAGATAACACTTGATACATGATTTGTCGATTTACTCTGAACTTATTATTAAATGGCAAGTTTTACGTCTTGTTTTCAGAAACTAAGTGACCCACATGTACATTCCTATAACATGATGTAGGGACTTGTGTTCACTTCTCAGATACCAAATGAGTTTTGTTTAGATCATTACAGTATCAACTACATCTAATGGTAGTTGACAAAACAGTCATATTACTATAGTATTAATTAATGGGTGTTTTCATAATGGCCCTGTTATAAGTCCATGGTCTGTTATAATGGTCGAGGATGTCTGTAATGGCATGAGGCAATGCCGAGGGACATTACAGCCTCCAAGGTCATTATTGCTGACTGAGGACAAATAACAGGGTCAATTTGAAAACACCCATTTCTTAACACTTTTATTAACCAAACCGTCAATGTGTAATATTAAACTAAGCCAAATCAGTTTTTTGTGGAGAAATTGTATATATATAATTACCGGTATACCAAATGCAATATTAAAAAGAAAGTTATTTAAGAAATAATTCAAGCCCCCATAAATTATTTCTATTCTAATAGGACAAAGACAGCAATTCTTTTGGATCGAAGCGCTCTGTGAAGGGAAATATTTGCTGTTCCTGAAATTGAACACACTATTAATATTGACTTAAATAACGAAGAAAATTGAATAAGTGACATTCTTAAACGATATACAATAACATACTAAAGACAGATTTGGATGAATTTAATTGACTATCTTACTTTCATTTAAGAAGTTACGGACATTATACACATTCTTACCATCGTTTGTTTATGTTTTAATGTTTTGACGAGACTCAGTTTCCCATTCGTGCATTTTCGCGTAAAATCCTTACTTACTTACGTCGTCATTCAATGATGTCATTTACACCATCTGACGTGAAGTAAATCATTCATAAAAAGCATATGACGTGGAAGTAGGATTGGAACAGCCCAAACAAATCATGACGTTGCCTATTAGCTGACATGAATATATTCGAATTTTACCACGGGTGTGTACTCAAATCGTTTGAAGAACGTCATATTAGAATGTTTTTTACTCTTTATAAAGAAACTGTAATGATCAATTTGCTATATATGTGTTAAATATCATATATGTAACACCCTAAAACATGTCTGCTATGTCAAAATATGTCCTTTTTCGCTCAAACATGTCCTTAAAATTAAATATTCCAACTGCACTTCCTCTAGACATTATTGTATTTGATCAGATGTGTCCGATTTCCACTTCTCCCAAATGTTTTCTACAATTTCTTTCCGCTGAAACGTGTCCACTTTAAGATGTCAGAACTTTTCAAAACTTATAGCCCTAATATTGCCCCTGTGACCTCAGTAACGTCTATTGCAAATTTAACAATGGGGACACCTATGCAGGGTTGCTATTAACATCATAGCTGCTACGTAGGGCTACATAGATTTGGAGTGCTGAACGTATAGCTAGTCTAGCTGCTCAATAGATCTAGACCACTGGACGTTAAGCAACCAACAATCAATCAATTAATCAATAGATCTAGATAGCCAAAGAAAATCATGCTATCTAAAGAATCCAAAATGGCATCTTATTGATTATTACTATCCACATCCATGTTATTTTCTTGTGGGGTTTTGTTCATGGTTTGGCTCTTAGAAGGGGCAATTAAATCTTGGCTGTCTTCATTGTTGGCATTTTACATCCTCTTACAGTGCATTAAAATGAACAGTGAAATGTTTGCATTGGGTAAATTTTGGTGGTAAATGCCTATCAGGAATATAGGTAGAATTAAACACTCACCAATTTTACTCATATATGGTAAAATGTAAAGCTATGACATTTACCTTTTAGTGGAAAGCCCATGATGGAGTAATACTGAATGTGGACTGGAACCCAGTTAACAATTTGATTCTGTCTGGAGGAGAAGATTGTAGATATAAGGTAACAATTGAATAATGTTCATTGTATATTTAAAAAAATAAAAATTTGTTAGAAGTACCTAAACAAAATTGAATGTGGGTTTCTCTATTTTGAAAATCATCAGCAAGAAAGAATTTTATCTGAATCGTCTTGGGTGCACTAATGTCTCTGATATATTGCCTTGACCTTATTTGAATGCCCTAGTGGTCAGATGAAGTTTTCAGGCACAGGTCTGATTAGCAGTAACAACACTTGATATGTCAATAATATAATGTATTTTGATTGAATGAAATAAGTATATATAAAAAAAAGGAGATGTAGTATGATTGCCATTGAAACAAATATCCACCAAATGAAGAGGATGTAAGCAACTACAGATCACTGCATGGCCTTCAACCCATACTGTATATCTGTCAGGCATATTTCATATCATCTTCAAATCATTTTCCTGGTCCAGTGGTCAGTTTAATTTTTATACGACCCCAAACAAACTTTGCGGTCGTATATTGTTATGACGTTGGCGTCGTCGTTGTCCGAAGACACATTGGTTTTCGCACTCTAACTTTTGTTTAAGTGAATGGATCTCTATGAAAGGACAAGGTTTGATAAGCCCCCGTTTTGGCCCCCCTATTTTCTTATTTTTCAAATTTTGTATTGGAAAGCTACTTATCATGTTAAAATATTCCCTGAGGTTTGAAGTTTGTTTGGATGAACTTCAAAACCCTTAATTTCAGCAACTGGGTGAGGTGAGGGGGTAAACTTTCCGTTATTATTCACTTTGGAGGTGTTCCGTACAACGATTTTTTAGTTTTTAAGTGCCTGCGCCAACGTGACCCAGGAATTTTTCTATTACAATGTCATTATCACTGTTTTTGCTGTCTAAATCGCCATAATTTTCTCCGGGTCACGTAGGCGCACGCTATTAAATTTTAAGAAACACAGGCCAAAAATCGTAATTTTTCCTACTTTTGGCGTTTTTGATGCCCTTTCACCCCCCTCACCTCACCTTGTTGCTGAAATTAATGGTTTTGAAGTTCATCCAAACAAACTTCAAACCTAAGGGAATATTTCAACATAATAAGTAGAATTCCAAAACAAAATTTGAAAAATGAGAAAATAGGGGGGGGGGGGGGGGCCAAAACGGAGGCTTATCGTACCTTGTCCTTTTACCATAAGGTTCAATACCACAAAAGGAAGGTTGGGATTGATTTTGGGGGTTATGGTACCAACAGTTAATGAATTAGGGGCCAAAAGGGGCCAAAAATAAGCATTTTTGTAACTTCAAGACATAACTTGTGTGTTAGTGTATGGATCTCTCTGACATTGTACGACAAGGTTCCATATCACAAAGGGAATGGGGGGATTGATTTTGGGGGTAATTGCCTCAAAATTTTAGGAATTAGGGGCCAAAAAAGGGGCAAAAAACAAGCATTTTTCTAGTTTCATGACAATAACTTGTGTGTAAGTGTATGGATCTTTCTGAAATTGTACTACAAGGTTACATATCACAAAGGGAAAGCTGGAATTGAGTTTGGGGGTAATTGCCCAAAACGTTTAGGAATAAGGGGCCAAAAAGGGGCCAAAAATAAGCATTTTTCTAGTTTCCAGACAATAACTTGTGTTCAAGTGTATGGATCTCTCTGAAATTGTACTGCAAGGTACCATACCACAGAGGGAAGGCTGGGATTGATTTTGGGGGTAATTGCCTCAAAACTTTAGGAATTAGGGGCAAAAAAGGGGCAAAAAACAAGCATTTTTCTAGTTTCAGGACAATAACTTGTGTGTAAGTGTATGAATCTTTATGAAATTGTACTACAAAGTTCCATATCACAAAGGGAAAGCTGGGTTTGAGTTTGGGGGTAATTGCCCTAAACGGTTAGGAATTTGGGGCCAAAAAGGGGACAAAAAACAAGCATTTTTCTAGTTTCCATACAATAACTTGTGTTCAAGTGTATGGATCTCTCTGAAATTGTACTGCAAGGTACCATACCACAAAGGGAAGGCTGGGATTGAGTTTGGGGGTGATGAATCATAAGGGGGTTCAAAAAAAATGTGGAGGGTGGGATTTTTTTCCCCTTTTTTTCCTTTTTTTTTCTTCAAAATTTTCCAATTTAAATTGGTTATTTCTGATTTATATATAAAAGCAAATAATAATGATATGGTTTGAATAGGTAAATTAAAATTTTTTAAGTTCTTAGACCACATTCATTCTGTGTCAGAAACCTATGCTGTGTCAAATATTTAATCACAATCCAATTTCAGAGCTGTATCACGCTTGAATGTTGTGTCCATACTTGCCCCAACTGTTCAGGGTTCGACCTCTGCGGTCATATCAAGCTGCGCCCAGCGGAGCATTTTATTACAGATTAGATCTGTATCTCATCAACTATGAAATTCATGTTACAAGGACTTGTTTTGAGCACCTCTATGCCCATAACAAGTTTCTTAATACCCCAGTTGAAGAGACCTTTAGAATAATTCAAATATTGCCACAGCAGATATTTTATTTTAATGGGTCCACTCCTGTTATTTTATTATCATTCCATCAGTAGCTTTGACCTTTGGATGTGAATTAATGATATGAAAAGGTTTACTATTGAGATGTTTTTGATTAATATCATACTTTTGTTTTAGGTATGGGATACCTATGGTAGAGTAATGTATAACAGCTCTGCCCATGACTATCCCATCACTTCAGTTGCCTGGACCCCTGATGGAGAATTGTTTGCTGTAGGATCTTTCAATACATTAAGGATTTGTGACCAAGCAGGGGTAAGTCACATAAATTGAATTGTTTAAATATTGAAATTAAACCCATCTAATTTATTAAATTAAGAAATTTGATAGCGGTTAATGTCAGATCTAATTTTTTGGACAGCTTTGTTTTAAGTCGACCATAGCAGGAAAGCTCTCGTCATTTCATTATTTTGAAAATTTCAAGGTAAACTAACAAGAAATGGAAATACAGCTAATATCAGGACTTTCTTCATTTCATAATGCCATATTACAAAGTAAGAATAAATTCAAAGAAAATTTCAACTTCACCCAAACCAAATTCTTTAAAAATATAACCTGCCCCTGGTAAATCTTCAATAATTAACAAAGTGTCATACTTTATTTCTAAATTATAGATGTTTATTTTTACAGTGGTCTTATTCCTTGGAGAAACCTAACACAGGGAGTCTGTTCAAACTGGCATGGTCTGGAGATGGCACACAGGTAGCAGGAGCATGTGGGAATGGTCAAGTACTTATTGGACATTTAATAGAAAGGTAGGTCATGTAGAGAGTTCAGGCCAATTTCCCTGGTAATAGGTCACATGGTAAATAATTAACGACTTTTTAGTGTAAAGATTGCATTCATGCAACCAAAACCCTTATGTTGCTGGCTTGATATCCAGACTTTATCACTTCTTATCAGAGAAAAAAACATAGTGAATTGAGTACAACATTCTATTCATACTACAATGATCAAGAAACGTATCAGTGAAATGTATACTCGGATAGTCAAGTTACAAGATGATGATGTGTATAACCATATCTATCAAGAAAATTACATAAATTGTGCCTGGAGTATGAATCTAGTATCTGTTCTAAAAATATCAATGATGTTATTGTTATAGTAATAATTAAAATTTAAGTAAGCTTCCATTGTCCATAATTGTAGTTGAACCAACTACCATTAACATCAAATGAAGAATATTGCCTTCCAATGCTTAATACAATGCAATGTTTTAATATTTAGTTCTAACTACAAAGTAAATGCTTGTGAGCACTGAAGGATGAAAATGGCCCTACCTTTTTTAAATGCAAATAGTTCATATCGTGCACTTTCATTAAAAATATCCCTCATGTGAAATAAGTTTAGAGGAAAATGGTCCTACCTTGTTTTAATGCAATTAGTTCATGTTGTCAGGTTTTAGGACTTATTCAGTAAGCTTCATAATCTATATGTGCTGACTAAGTGCCCTTATTTTTTTTTGTTATAAAATTGTTTTAATGAAAATACTTGGATTCAGATATAGGTTGTTTTCATAATTAATTTGTGTAATACCTTTATTTATGATTTGATAATATTTTTTCTACATGACAGGCGACTTGAATGGAAGAATTATGAAGCAACAGTTGTTAGTAGTAAACAAGTAGATGTTAGGAACGTAGTCAATGATGTTAAAGATAAGCTGGACTTCCGGGACAGAATCATTAAATTATCGTTTGCCTATTCTCATCTCATTGTTGCTACTTCATCACAGTGCTATATATTTAAGTAAGTTTATAGCCTTTCATTTGTTCGTTTTGCAAAGTATGTTACCTGTACAGATTGTCTGTATTTTATATGAATATTTTATAGAAAAAACGAATTACTGTTAGCAGACAAAAAATCTACAGTTTACAGTCAATTTGGAAAACCACTTATCAGTCCAAAATTTAATTGATCAGGGTCAAAGGACACTTGTATTATTGAAATCAACATTTTTAAAGCTTTTTACTGACAAGAGGTTAACAAACAATGTTAGGAATGTCTTCAGACAAAGCAGATTTTCTTGATACGAACTATGGAAATAATTGTAGCTTTAACACATGGTAAAAAATATGACACATAAGCATAAAAAAAAGACCAAATACATGCAGAAGTGCAAAGATTCTTGTGTTTTTATGGCCGTGTTTAATGCCTTTAAAAAGGGTAAAGAACATGGTTTAGTGCACGACTTCAGTTGCAGTCAGGCAGAAAAAAAATGATTGCTTTCAGCTCGGTTGTATTGAAATATTGTTTCCACAATGATTTTCAGATGTAACCATATTTTATGATTAAAGTAAATTTCTTTTTATAAATGATTTGCTATTAAATATGTCAAGCATGAACTTATATAAAATTATTTTATTTGAATTTCAGTGTTAGAAATTTCAACACACCAATGATATTTGATCTTAAAGAGGGCAATGTGACACTTATCCTTCAAGCAGAGAAGTAAGTTTGTATTTTTGTTCCTCATCTCTTTTATACTGTCCTTTGTCAGTTATTCTAATGTCAACTTCAACTGTAAATTAATTTATGTTTTTCAGAATTTGTAATGGAAAAAAGGGATATGAATTATTATTTCATGACACAAAATCCATGCAAAATATTTAACAAGATCCAAGGCAAAAGTGCTTCTCACTGCAAGTTCAAGAAGGGCATTAGCAATGGTTTGAGTGGACATCTCGGCTAGATGTTGATAAACCTAAATTTTTTTTATCAACTTCTTGTTTTTGGCAAAAAAATGTTAGAACAGACTACATTGACTAATTGTTAGACAATTTATAAAATCATGATCTCCTGTTCATTTCTCTATACAATTAACATAAAGAAGGAGGTGCAATTAAGGCCCTTTTGGGTCTAAGAAATGAAATATTACAAAATGAGAGGAGTCTTTTGGCATAAAGATAATTGATATGTACATGTATATGCAAATTTAAAATATTTTGAATATTTACAAATATTTTGCCATCATAGAATGGCCTAATTTTGATACAAAAAATGACTGGAATATTGAGCTCATGTAAATACCAAATAAATATTTACATAGAAGGTGTTGTTGTTCTAGACAAACATTGTTTACATAGAAGGTGTTGTTGTTCTAGACAAACATTGTTTACATAGAAGGTGTTGTTGTTCTAGACAAACATTGTTTACATAGAAGGTGTTGTTGTTCTAGACAAACATTGTTTACATAGAAGGTGTTGTTGTTCTAGACAAACATTGTTTACATAGAAGGTGTTGTTGTTCTAGACAAACATTGTTTACATAGAAGGTGTTGTTCTTCTAGACAAACATTGAGCTAAATTATTTTATTGGTTCTTGCATGTGCTCTGTATTTGCAAGTCCAAAAACTAGTTGTAAATTGGCAAAAAATTTGGCATTTTATACAAAAAAAATGTGTAGAAGGATCTTTTCCATGATTTTCACTACATTTATTATAAAGTCATGGATAGTAAACTATTGAACACTAAGTTGAATAAAGCCTTTAAAAGAAGTGAGAAATTTTACAATTTTTTGCAATTTTAAGTACCAAATAATTACTCTTATCATATCCCCTCCTTTGTTTGCAATAGTTTTCACATTCCAACTCTTAATTTTTTAGACATTTTGTACTTGTTGACACAGCTGGTGTGTATATTTACTCCTACGATGGTAGAATGGTATCTTCACCTAGATATGCTGGTATGAGAGCTGATGTTCTCAATTATCAAACAGTGGCACTCAGTAACGACACAATTGCTATTAGGGATAAAACAGATGAAAAAGGTTGGTTTTAGTTAAACTGCACTGTAGAATTTGAAGTAAAAATTATGACTAGTAGTATTCTGAGAATTTTGCTTTTAAGTCATTCATTTGAGCCCCACGACTAATTATTATACCTCTACTCTAAAAGTAGAAGCTATATTGCTTTAACCTTGTCTGTTCGTTCGTCCCACAAATATTTTATATGCACTTTTATCAGGAACCGCTGAACAGAATGACTTCATATTTAGTCAGCAGCTTAACAGTGATGAGTTGTTACTTGTGACCTCTTTAATAAGCCTGTATTATTGTAAGGTGTACATGTCCCTCTAACAGAGCTAACCTGACCCTAACATTGTTTTATTGTGTATTGATCAACGTAAAATATTTATGGTCAGGTGATCCTTTCAGTCACTATGAGTAAAAAGTCAAATATATGATCTCTATGGAATTAGTTTTTATGAAGCAAGTGTCAAGACCTTTTTCTTAAAGATTTTTTTCAGTCATAATCACTTATAAAGAGTGGGAGACATTTCAGATTTTTACTGGTATTAGGAAAAATAAGTAAATCTAGCAATTGAAAACCAAAAAATCATAGGAGAAACCCTATATGAAATATTGTCAAACTTGAAATATTTAAAAATTGAGATTGATCTGGTCTTCAGCAATGCATTTCGATCTATAAATCATTAAAAAGTTCTCTAATATTAATTTTTCTTTTTTTCAGTTGTGTATGTATTTGATGCACAGACTGGGAAGAATTTGGGTGATGGTAAACCCATTACACACAAGGTAGATTGAAAATAATAGATAAAAGGTCTATATTTTAGTTAACTTTCATACTCTTATATACTCAATTTGAGCTCAGTTGGAAAAAAGGGCTTGTGTCAAGCTATTTTGCATCCATTATCCATCATCTACTGTTATTTGTCTGTCATGAAGAAATCTTGAAATCAGTGGGCTAGTTGGAAATATGACTGATTTTCCTGCTGATCCATCATCCACCATTGCAACTGTTACTAAAAATAGAACATAGGAGTAAAGTCTATTGAAATTAGACTAAATAATCATGCAAACTCTAAAACAGTCATGTATTTGCCAAACTTGGTAAAATAATTGGTTGCAGTGTTTTCTCCTTGCCATTATAAAGCTGTGATTTTCATAACTATATGACACTTCAAACAATAGATTGGATAATATTACAACAGTGTAAATTATTTAAAATATTTTGGCTGAGTTGTTCATTTGAAATGACTTGGTAGTCTGGGCATCAATAGTGCTTGTTTAAATGACTATGAAGGCTTTTGAGGACCTGTTTTATAGAAGAACATAATGTATTTGCCAATGTCATTGCTAAAACGATATTAAAATATAATTTTAGAGATAAAACAATTCGGTGACAACAAATGACATATTTTCCCACAAAGTTTACAAATTTTAGCTCATTGATTACATTCATCGCCAGCTGTGTGGTAGAGTGAGTGATAAAGGAAATGCTGGGCACATGCTCATGTGTTTGCTTTTATTCCATCTATCTACCTTGTATGCTATTTCACCACTACTGTGGTCTTTGATAAAATTCAAAATTTGTGTGAGCTTTTAAATCAACAATATATTGATCAAGTTTAAAAAAATATTATTGAGTTATGGCTGTCGAACATTAAATCTTGAAAGCACCTTCATTCATATAGTTTTTGATTTATTTTGATAAAAAAATTATGTTGATATAAAAAGTTTCTCAAACTGGAAAGATATTGCAACTCACACCAATGGAAAAATTGTATGGGCCTATATCCGTTGGAAATCTAAGTAAATATCAAAGATTGTCCAGTAAGTGCTCTCACCAATTCCTGAGGAATTTTGATAAAATAGATATGCAAATTGTTATGACTCCCAAGCTGACCAGTCTTTGTTCTTACTCCACAATGCTACATGCTCGATGGAGAAGCCACTAATACCAATTTTGAAGTCTTTGGTTTAACCTGACAGGGGATCCAGCCTATGACCTCAAACACTAAAGTCAAGCATGCTACAAGAAGAACACCAAGTATATTTAAATATGAGGGTGATGTTAATTTCATATTTCATAATAACAAGTGATTTAAAACTTTTTATAGTTAGAGGTAATGGAAATAGCACTTGACCAATGTGGACCAGCGACAGAGAGACGTCTAGCAATAGTAGATAAAAATAGGGATCTCTATGTGACAGCTGTTAGAGTGTTTGGTGGAGAAAGGAAAACACATAAATTAGGTAAGGAAAACAAGTTTAGCATGTCAATCACACCTTTTATATGTTAGAATCCTGATTTATAGATTTTTTTATTATGCCATGCCACATATGACCGAAGCATATAGGTTAACCTTTGTCAGTAATAAAATCAATACATATATATTTGGTTGTGGTTTGTGTTTATTTTATCAGAAACCAATGATGTTATATCACTATTGCAATCCTTTAAGAAAATACAACATATATCATCAAAAATTGGGTTGCTTTGACTTACATTAATGCTAGAATGACTTCAAATCATGAACCAACAGTAAATCCTTTATTATATAATATTTGCAATGATATGACCATTATTACTTGCATTTCACATTTGCACTTTGTTTATTCCATAAACACAACCCTTTTGCAGGGGAAACATAGATCAATAACACATCACCTTGACCAATATTTTATACTTCTGTTACTTGGTTAAAATCTTGTACAACTTATATTTTATCCCTACAATTAATTCACTTATATACTGCAAAATTAGTTCCACAACATAAAAGTCACCATGACATATATTTTATGCTTAAGCCACAACATAAAAGTCACCATGACCTATATTTTGCATAAGCCAGAACATAAGTCATTATGACCTATATATTATGCTTAAGCCACAACATAAAAGTAGCCATGACCTATATTTTATGCTTAAGCCACAACATAAAAGTCACCATGACCTATATTTTATGCTTAAGCCACAACATAAGTCACCATGACCTATATTTTATGCTTAAGCCACAACATTAAAAGTCACCATGACCTATATTTTATGCTTAAGCCACAACATAAAAGTCACCATGACCTATATTTTATGCTTAAGCCACAACATAAAAGTCACCATGACCTATATTTTATGCTTAAGCCAAGTACATTTCACATTAGGTCTTTTTTATAAACATTAACTTAAACACAATCACCTCAGTGGTTTCTTTGGTAGAATGCTTCATACAAGTGCAGGAGATCAGGAGTTTGATCCTTAGCTGGGTCAAACCAAAGACTTCAAACTTGGTATTTGCTGCATGCATGCAATATGTAGGAGACAGACAAATGACTAGCTAGGGGTAAGAAGTATATGTCAGGGTAGGTTGACATGTTTCCCCTAGCTTTTACATTTTTAGTTAGGTAAAAAAATCTGAGGGGGAATTTAGGTCTAGCACAAAACAGGGTATTTTTATATTACAATAATATGCATGTAATGCTTGCTACTGGACATATAAGTTGAAAATTGAAGTGCTATTTAACCTTTCAAAATAAATTCTATGACAATGTATGTTGTACTGCAAAAACACACCTTAGCATACAACAGCACCAATAAAATCATGGTTTTTACATTTTAGGAAACATGATTCAATCCTTGGCATGGAATGACTCAGCTAATATGTTGGCAGCATTTGCAGATAGTAAATTTACAGTATGGTATTATCCCAATGTCGTATTTGTAGACAGAGATCTTATTAATAGAACAGTGTTTTCCAAAGATGCAAGGTAAAAAATACAGGATGAGTACTACCACCAAAGAACTAACTACTACAGATTTTAAATTATGGAAAAGGGAAGAATTCTCTTAAAAATTCCTTTTTTAAGATTAAATTCTATAGCAATCATATTAAAAGAGAGATTATGATTCAGCATTGAAATGAGGGAATAAGTTAGTTTTCTAGAAATTGAATTTTGTAGATTTATTGTTTTAATGTTTTACAATCCATTACAATGTATTGTTTAGTTGTAAATGCTTTAGAATAATTGCTTCTGTTTGATGGATGGAGATTTCTGCGTTTATTTTCACCATGGTTAATCTTACTTTGTTTGTGGAGTTTGTTTATGATCAGATGTTGGCAAATGATTTACACATGTCCTTAACCTTATACCACCTCAATGGTCTCATGGTAGTGAGCTGGCCTTGAGTGGGAGAGGTTGTGGGTTCAAAGCCGAGCCAGGTCAAACCAAAGACTTAAAAATTGGTATTTGTTGCTGCTCCACCAAGCACACAGCATTTAGGAGTAGGAGCAAAGATTTGTCTGCTCGGCGTCAGAAAAATGTGTCTGATATGGTGACATGTCTTCCTGTGGAGTATTACCTTGTGAACTAGCATATTAAAAATCAGGCTAAGTGTGACTGTCTAATACAAAGCAGGGTTTATATTCATATCACATTATTATGTTCTCGTCCTGAATATGCATTTAATTTGCCACTGGACGTTAAACAGTCATCCATTCATCCATCCATCAACACTACCAACAAATGTATATGTTTTATTGTTTTACAGTGAATTTGGTAAGAATCCACAGATCTTACAGTACACAGGAAATCATGTTGTGATACGGAGAGCTGAAGGTTCTATAGTCAGTACAGTCACATCACCTTACCCATCAATACTACACAACTATGTACAGTCATCAAGGTTTGCTGATGCTGTTAGACTGTGTAGATTTGTTAAAGTAAGTAAAGGTTCTATAATCAGTACAGTCACATCACCGTACCCATCAATACTACACAACTATGTACAGTCATCAAGGTTTGCTGATGCTGTTAGACTGTGTAGATTTGTTAAAGTAAGTAAAGGTTCTTTAGTCAATACAATCACATCACCGTACCCATCAATACTACACAACTATGTACAGTCATCAAGGTTTGCTGATGCTGTTAGACTGTGTAGATTTGTCAAAGTAAGTAAAGGTTTGTTAAAGTAAGTAAAGGAGATGTGGGGCATACGTCAAGGAGACAAGAACCATACAAAACCAGGAAAGAAACCTAGACACATTCAGACCTGTTCCTTTCACTTTACTGCTACATATTAAAAGTGCAAATTTTAGGGGGATATAGCACAGTGTAATGTTCCTCTGAAAAGTCCAGAATATTAAGAAAAGGATTCAAGCTTCCAATTATATAAGAATGTTCATATACAGAAATATAAGAAAAACAAAAATATAAACGGTATTGTTAAGTGATTACCTATCTATCTTATTTACAGGATGACATTTTATGGGCGTGTCTAGCTGCAATGTCTGCTTATGCTAAAGATCTCAACACAGCTGAAGTGTCATATGCTGCCATCTTAGAGGTATGGTATTCCTGTCTATATGTAACATGTTTATTTATTGGATTTTCATTCATCTAGTTCTTTTTTTGATAATTTTTCAGTTTCTTGAAACCCATGGCATATTGTATAGGATTCTTGATGTAATATTCTTATTTAGGAATACTATTCATGAACATTGGTGCAATAATCCAGTTGTTGCATGGTAAAACTTTAATATGACATAAACATTGACATAAGTGTGAGACCTTATTTTGGTAGTCACAGACATTAGAAACCCTGTAGTAGTAGTATTGATGATAGGAAAGAAGTGTGCTATACAAATAGTTATTTGGGTGATGATTTATTGATGTAAAAGAAGTTAGGTGTACAAATAATCATGACTATCAATGAGACAACTCTCTGACAATGAATGTGATATCTTCTACAGATCAGTCAGAATGACAGTCTTCAAATAATAACAAAGACCCATGCAAGAAGAAAATCTTATGGAATTTTAATAAAACTTTTAAAACACAGAAGTTGAATTTATTTCCTCAAGAAAAGATGCTTTTTGTAGATGACATAAATTTATGTTGTTTGATTCTTTTAGGCAGAGAAAGTACAGTTTATTGTGAATATCAAAGACATACCAGTAAAAGAAGCTCGGAATGCAGAAATGGCCCTTTTATGTGGAAGTCCGCAGGACGCTGAGGCTATATTGTTGACGGCTGGACTCACATTCAGGGCAATTATGTTAAATATTCAACTTTATAATTGGGATAGGTAGGTCAACTTTATACTGCCTTATAAAATTCTGATACAGATGTGTTTTTTATTGTTGGTTAAGTTTCTTTAATAGATATAAGATTTTCCCATGATATTGATAAGACTTGAGTGCAATGCAGAAGCAGACATGGTAATCTGATATTGTTATTATGCTTTTGTTAAGTGTTATCCCAATATGGTGGGGAAAAATTATTAACTATGTTTTTTTGGTCTGTTCAGGAATAAATCCCTTTGGTCTTTGAAGGTACATTCCTCTCACCCCTACCACCACCAAATCATAACAGTTTATTACATTTATAAAATTTTGAATTGTCCATCAGAATTTTTAAAAAGTGCCATAAAAGACATCATGATAACTTGTGGAATTGTCCATTATGGTTTTTGTCACATTTTTTTTTCTCTCAATAAATCAGTGTTTTTTTATAAATGAATGTAATTGGATATTCTTGGCATAAAAATGACATCTATTGAATTTAATAATACTTTGAATTGTAGAGCATTGGAATTAGCAGTTAAACATAAAACTCATGTAGATACAGTATTAGGATATAGACAAAGATATTTAGAAAGATTTTCCAAGAAAGAGAATATCAAAAGATACCAACAGTACAAAGATGGAGTAAGTTGTCTTGAAACAAATCATAGAAATTTAAATATTTTGTTAGAGCTATTCCAGGAAAAAATGTATGGGAGGGTTGGACACCACATGATATATGTTTTTAGTGTGGTGGAACCAAATACAATTATGTTACAAATAAAATTAAAAAGATAGAGTATAAAAAAGTGTTATTCAACACACACCATACAGTTTTCATCATATGAAATAAAACTTTATATTATGGAAAAAGTGTGTCATTTTAGAAAAGTGTAATTTTTCATTTATGGAAAATTTGGAAATAACCGTCAAGTTTATCCAGCATAAAGGTTCTAACTGAATGTCTGAAAAAACAAATACAGAGTGATATGATATGGAAATAGGAACACATTTTCAAAAGTGACTGTGATTTGACTTAGCTGCACTTAATTTTATCATTAGTACTCCACTACACTTTCTGATTGTCAAAGTGGTTGAGCATTAGATGTGAAATGTCATCAAGACTTGACTGGTTTCTTCTTCTATCTAGTGTTCATGCACATTAGCCTTCCTGGTTGAAACCGTTAAATATTTTTTTCAGTATTTCGAGCTTGATTCATTAGTGATCAGAAAATGTATGTATAAAACTACCCAAGAGATAATGTAAAAGACAGATTATTTGAATCAGAATGTTTATTTTATTATTTTACAGATTGAAATAGACTGGGAGAAAATAGAATCCAAAATAGAATATGAATATCAAAAAGAAAGAGAACGACCAACACCTTCTTCCCAGCCTGCCTCTACAGGTTCAACAGGAAGTTCTGTGTCACGGACAGGTGGACCAAGACCAAGGGTCACAGCACAAACTTAGTCATTTATTATATGTTCATTTCTAAAAACTGTGATACTATTTATTTTGTTGTGAAAAGAAAACACTATAGTTAAGTTGTTTAATTGCTAAATAATGAAGAAAATGATAGCAAAACTTTAAAAGACAAAGTTACTGTATTCTTTTATTTCATGTGTAGTAAAAAATGAGAGAAAGTTAAAATAGTTTAATGTTGGAATATCAAATAATCATGCTTTGTTGTAACAAAACAGATATACTAGTTCTATGTCTAAGAAGGCAATGAGAATCAGTTGTTTCATTGTTTCTATATACATTTATATTGATATACACATCTTGTTTTTAAAAATATACTGTCAAAGGTAACAGCATTGAAAAGTTTTTCACCAATGCTTTTAATTGTTGCTGTGAAATTCAAAATGCAAATCTTGCAATAGGGAATAGGACAAATTTTCAGCAAGATAAAAGTAAACCATTAAATGTGCTATGCAAAATATTACTAGTCATATCTGTAATAAAGTTGTGTTAAGGAAACAGAAATGATTTAATTTATAAAAGAAAATCGCTTGTTAACAGTTTATAGATAAAATTCCAACTTATATTCATTCCAGTGTTATATGACATTTTCACATTGCTGTTTTGGAATTAAGTATGTTTTATAATGTCTACTGTGTTCTAGATTTTTGTATTTATTTTTTCCTGTTCTCAAGGGCGAAATGTTGTCCTCATCATAAAAAATTATGATAACCAGTTTTGGATGGTACTGAAATTGCACATAAAAAAACAATTTGCTTTAAAATATTCTGTTATAACATTAAAGTTCATGTTTTAAGTTTTTTTTTCCAACCTGACATAGTCTTCTGTAGTTCATTTTGTATAATCGCATTATCTCCAACAGTTTATATGCAGGTTAGGTTCTGATTTTTCTACTGTTTTGTCCTACATTAATTTTGAAAATTACCTTTCTAAAAAGTAAGATGTTCGTTAGTGAGACAATAATTCATTAAAGACCAAAGGAAAATAAAATGAACATGTACAGGTCCCTATTGTATTTACGGTTGAAATTCCCGCCTAATGTTACAACTGGGTAAGCTATAACTGCAACCTTTAATATTTATTGAATGCTTTATTCCGTCCAAATATTTTGTATTCATATGACATATATGATGTATAATGTTTGTTTACAAAGAATATCTATTTTATTTAGAGAAGCAGGTGGAAAAGAAAATCTCGTATAAAATAAAAAGTTAAATCTTTTATGTGCCCTTTTCTTTGTGTTTATTTATTATGTCCAATAATCAAATGTGTAATAGTATTGTATAAATTTATGATTTCAAGCTCATCATGCATAGAACATGTTTCTATAAGCTGTGATTATATTCTTGTATACTGAAAAAGATAGTGATACAAATCATTGTCATCTAGAAACTGATCTCATCAATATTACATATACAAACATTTCTGGATTTACAGTTGATAAAATTCTTAAATGGTTCTTTTAGGATGTTAAAACTGGAATGTGTTTGAATTCCTGGAGGAAATTAATATGAAAGTAGAAAATTCAAGGGAATTGACTGAAAAGGTCCTTGGTAACCCCTGAAAATTGAGAAAATACTTCTGTATGAATTTTTTTTAGATAATAAAAATGAAATAACTAATTTCGGTCATCAGTTGATCTCAATTATATAGCTGTTTATGTGGTCAAAGAAATAGTAAAAAAACACCTGTTTCTGGGAACCTACATTTTTTAGATTTGGATATTCTGGTAACAACAATTTACTGCTTATTTGATACTCATGCACAGGAAATAAAAAAAAGAAATAATTGAACTAGAAAAAGTTTTAATGGGATTATTTTTAGCTTAATTGGCTTTATGGGCCATATGAACTATTGCCATCACTTAGCACCCATCTTTGTTTGACTTTGTCAATGTGTAAACTGTTTATTTTTATCTTCCCTGCAACCACAAATTTTGACAATACTTGGGCTTCATGATATTTAGGGTTCAGATTTTAGATTCAATATTTGTATGCCCCGCCGTAGCGGAGGGGGCATTAAGTTTTACCCTTGTCTGTCTGTACGTCCGTCCGTATGTCCCAAAATTGGTTTCCTTTTTCTAACTTTAGTTTGCCTCAACCAAATGTTAGGAAACTTATACACAATGCTTATTACCACAAAACACAGATCAAGTTTGAATTTGGGTGGCATCACTTTTACCTTTCTAGAGTTATGCCTCTTTATAAATGGAAAAATTTTCATTTCATTTCCGTTCTCTAACATAAGTTTGCCTCAACCAAATGTTATGAATTTTATACACAATGCTTATTACCACAAAACACAGATCAAGTTTGAATTTTGGTGGCGTCACTTTTACCGTTCTACAGCTATGCCCTTTTACATATGGAAAATTGCAGAATTTTTCGTTTCCGTTCTCTAACTTAAGTTTGCCCCGACCAAATATTTTGAAACTTATACACAATGCTTATTACCACAAAACTCAGATCAAGTACAAATTTGGGTAGCGTCACTTTTACCGTTCTTGAGTTATGTCCCTTTATAATGTTATATACAAGCAGGGGCATCATCTGTGTCCCATGGACACATTCCCCATTTATTTATTATAGTCTCACCACATACAATAACATATATTTACACAATAAAATATTCATACAGGTACATAAAACAGATAACAAGAAACATAACATTAACATTGTATGTGCCAATATTAAAAGATTTATGAGAGACTGTACAAGCAATATTTAAATACAGTTTGACAATGTACATATTATATATAATATATATTTGTTTAAGAATATCATTAAAATACAGCATAATTAATGATATAAAAAACCATTTCTTCTGATTAAAATGTTATTGCAGGTTCTGGCCACACTTTCAAAAAATTTATCCTTATTGAATAAGAAAAAAATATTTTCTTTATCTAATAAAACGTTAAAGTTCACATTAAAATTTGCAGCTTCATAAAACAATATACATCTAAGACCTTCGTGTAGTGGACATTTTAATAAAACGGGCAGTTCATCTGCAATACTATTATTACAATAAAAACATGTAGGGTATCAAGAATAAAGTTTATTTTGTTTGTTCCTGCCAATTAACAAACGACTGCCAAGACCAAAATAAAATATATGGATAAAATGCAAGTAAGGGTCTTATATTTAACCATTATAGATAGAGAAAATCTGATTGGGTGAAAAATGCTCAAAATTTCAAGATCTATATACAATCCATCACACACCTATAGAACAAAATTGTCAGAAGATGCTATATAGAAGTTATTGTCCATATATAGTAAATATTGACTTGTGATATAATAGATAGACGGAAACTGTTTGGGGCAAAAATTATTATTAGTTCAAGATCTATAAATATGTCTACATGATTACACATGATCGATTCCATATTTGAATTATTGATTGATTGTTGGTTGCTTAAATTTCAGTGGCAAATATTTCCTGGATGTTCAGGATGATGGGAATTATTGCCCATTAATAACAATTATAACCAATTTTGGGTTTTATGCCCCGCCTAGGGTCATCATGTTTTTCTGTCTTAGCATCTGTCTGTCCATTCGCTGTCCCACTTCAGGTTAAAGTTTTTGGTCAAGGTAGTTTTTGATGAAGTTGAAATCCAATCAACTTGAAACTTAGTACACATGTTCCCTATGATATGATCTTTCTAATTTTAATGCCAAATTGAGTTTTGACCCCAATTTCACGGTCCACTGAACATGGAAAATGAAAGTGTGAGTGGGGCATCCATGTACTATGGACACATTCTTGTTTTTTGGCATATCATATTAAAAATTATACCAGATAGACAGATCTTTAAACAGTAAAATTGATCAGCAACACTAGATCTACAAACTAGTTTTATAATTGAAGTCTTCAATCGATAGGTCAAAGATATTTTCTATAAAGTTGCATTACTATCAGTACATATCAGTTTGATGATTATTTCAAGGCCCTGCTCCCTAGGCCATGGTCCAGTGACATTCAATCAAATAACAATTTTCAATGTTAAGTTTTCTGATTAGGTTAGTTTAATAGGAAATACTTACAGTTGACAATATTTTCTATAAAGTTACATTGCTGTCTGTACATCTCAGTTTGTCAACCATTTAGAGGCCCTACCCATTAGTTGGTCCAGCGACTTTGAATTAATTAGCAATGTTGCTGTCCATCAGATTGTCTTTTTCTGAATTTTATTCAGACAGGCGAGACATATCTCTGTGTCAACAGTTCATGATTTTTTGGCTATAATCTTGAAAAATAAAATAGATAAACAGAAACTCTAAAAAGCAAAATGATCAGCAAGAACATATCATCGACATGCTTTTGTATATACCCCTTGGAATTGGATAATGTCATGATTATTCACAACTAAAAGGTACAAGGAAGAAATCTGTGCATTGATAGTTATGGTCAAAAACAAAGTTCAACTTAGCCATCCCTGTGCACATGTACAAAAATTGTGTCATCTCTAAATTTAATACCCCTAGGAGTTTTGGGATGAATAAGTGTTGCATCGGTGAAATTCACTAGTTGTTGTGTTACATTTTCTACCAGTTTTACTATTTTTGCAATTTAAACCCTTACAGGACTGGAATAATTTTCCAGACGTTATCACTACTTTTCATAAAAAAAAACAACAAAAAAAAAACGTAGTGCATTGAGCAAAACATTTTATTTGTCTTTTCCTGAACATTTAAAAAAAATAATTCTTAAAGTATATACTCAGATATTCAAATTACAAAATGATGTATATAACCATACTTGTCAAGAAAATTACATAAATTGTGCATGGTGTGCCAATCTTTTTGTTCTAAACATATCAATGATGTCATTGTTAAAGTATAAACTTTATGATGAATGAAAATATATACAATTCATGGAATTGCCTTCTACTGCTTAAGGGAGCTACCATTTGATTTTTATGGGGGGGAGGGGGGGGGGGGCTAGGATGAAAAATTTTGTCCTGCATTTTTTTTTATTTGTAATCTCTGTCCTGCATTTTTATTTTTCACTCTATTCGGTCCTGCCTTTTTTTTTTAAAGTTTAACCTGACTTTTTTTACCTAAATTGTCATCCTGGCTTCTTGTTTTGCAAGTGTCTCATCCTGCCTTTTTTTTTACTCAAAACTCCTGTCCTGCCTATTTTTTTCAAATTTCATCCTAGCCCCCCATAAAAATCAAATGGTAGCTCACTAAGACAATGCAATGTTTTATTTTTAGTTTCCACTGCAAAATGAATGCAATCTTTACCCTCCAATGCTAACAAGCACTTTGATTAGCTAATATCATGAAGGTCATTCAAGACGAACTATAAACAGCAAATATTAAAAAATGTAAACTGTTTTTAAAATATCTTCTCTGCAACTGCTCAAAGTTTGTCTGCATCTATATGGACTACATCTATATGATGTCAGCTATAAAGTGAGTGATTTTCGTCCAGGTTGATCAACCGGTGTGGATAAAAATAGAACATAGGGGTCAAACTACAGTTTGGGCTTATATCTCTATATGAAAACTATAGCAATTATTAAAAAACTGACTAGGTTAAATTGGAAGGCACAACAAGCTCTATCTACCCTGAAAATGTTAGAAAAGTATGTCCACATGTTTTGGAGTTATTGCCCCTGTAATGCTGATTTTTAACTGTTTTGGCATTTATTGGCCATTGGAGCTAGGTTAAAAGTGAAAATGCAAAATTTATCAGCACGGCAAGTTCTATCTACCTTAAACAATTTCAGAAAAATCTGAAGACCCTTTATGGAGTGAAAACTATAAGAGGTAGGTTAAACGTAAAAATGCAAAATTTATCAGCATGGCAAGTTCTATCTACCTTAAACAATTTATGAATTTTATGAAATTCAAAATGCATTTTTTTCAAATCTATGTCCTGCCATGCGTTGGAATGTTATCATATTTAAGTTGCATAGATTTTGTTGTGATCAGAATAGATTTTATGTTGTAAAAACGGCCATTTTTGCCAAAGGTCAAGATATACCTTATAATGTCACTCTGTAATATAAGTATATGTACAGGTATTGGAATTAATGAAGCGGTCCTTTATAACACATGTTTGTTTTGGAAGGTACTCCATCGACAAAGTCAACATTTTTATAGGACAGAGCATCATAAAAGCACGTATTATTTTAATGTGTTTATATATTTATCAAGGTAAGTAGCAGTAAGATTTAGTATTGTTATTTTGAGTTAATACTTTGTATACTTGTT